GGTGTTTATATGTCACCCTGTGGGGCAAGTTGAATCTGAGGCTTCCATTTTAAGGGAGAGAGGTGGGGAGAGAGGGATGAGAGAGTGAATACTTGCAGCAGGCAACAGAGCAAGTTGGTGTCCAGCTGGGACTCTGGCCACCTGTCAACATGGCTACTTCCACTGATTGTCACTTGCCTGGTGGCAAAGTGGGTGGTTTCTGCCTGAGTAGTCAGAAAAATCCCAGCTGGGCCTATGTTGGATCTTTCCACTCTTTGAACGTTTTTCCCTTCCATGAGTGTCAAAGTTACTCATTTTCTTTCGTTTTTTTTTTTTTTTTTTTTTTTTCATATACTTGTCTGCCTCTACCCACTCTTCTTTAATTACCGGGTCTCATTTATTTTACTCTGGCAGCCATCTTTTCTGCTAGATATTGCTGCAAGGGAGTCGATCGTTCTCAGAAGCAAATGTGTACTATGGGCTTCTATTAATAATGGTAATAATGCGATTGAGGTACAAACCCTTCAGTGATGAATGCATTCCCATGTAGCAAGCAGTTGCTCTGGGATTTGCACACAGAACCCCTCCTTCTCCTGTTTGTGTGAACTTGCAGATGATTTTCGTTTGGAGGAGGATTCATTAGGAGGGAATTATCTGGAGTTCATTGGTGGTTTCTTGCAGGTCAAAGTCATGCAATCTTTCTGTGTACTATTTCCTTATCTGCAAATCCAAGCAATACCTATCCGCTTTCAGAGAGGCATCTTGAAGACTAATTAGTTAATGATAGTTGTGAAGTTTTGAAGATTCAATACGAACAGCACAGATTAACTGTATCATATTCACAGAGCAATAATTTTTAGGTGCTAATGTTTGAGGAAGCAGTCTTGAATTATCCCTAGAAATACACAGAGCATATTATTAATACTTCTGAATTTTAAGAAATGACCACTTTGTTGAAATATTGAGTGGGGGGCAGATAGTGGCAGTCTTATAACACAGACTAGAGAGTCAATGGGGAAAATATCAAAGTGAAAGCAGACACACAAGAAACCTCAGGGTGGCCATTTCTCTAAACTCCTGGGAAACACAGAGTGCCCAGTGTCCCTTCCCTCATCTGGTGAAAGTTGCATCCCTTTTTGTGGGAACCACCTCTCCCCTCCTAATTCTAACTTGGGTAGGGATGGTCTGGGACTCACACCTAACTAATCAGTAAATATCTTGGCCAAAGTGATTTGTTCAGGGGCTGCTGTGTGACATGAGACCCCAGAGGAAACCTGAGCAGTTGAAACTGTTGGAAACAGAACTTCTAGTGCAATGGGAGGCACAGGGGAAATTGTGCGGTTAGAGAAGGAAAGGTTACATAAGAGTGAGACAAACCCATAGCAAAGGAAATAGTTAAGAAGTGAGTTCTGCTATAAACTCATTTGAGCACTGAATTCTGTTGTGTCTGGACTTTCAATCACACTCGTCAATACTTTCTTAAAAGCAAAATTTAAGTTAGTGTTGAGCTGGGATTTTGCTTGCTGGCAACCGTAGGAGTCTGAACTAATTTAATTCTCATCAATCGTTTGCGTGGACGTTTACTTGCAAATTAAAGATGGCTGAAGCTGAGTGATCCTTGAGCTCCCTTTCTCCCTTACTTCTCTTTCCCATGAAATCCTGCTCCTGGGAACTGTCATTTCAGGAGAGAACGTCCTCACTGTCTGCCTACTGTGTGCAAGGTACAAGGAGAGATACAAAGAAAAGAGGATGTGGGCCTTGTTATTAAAAAGTAATTCATATGTTTATTAGGAGCATATAACATGCATTAAAAGCATAATGGTATGCATTAAAAGGGGTCTGTAACACAACATAGTTTAGGGTTTTCAGAAATAAGAATGATAACAAATGTTTGGGAGAAGGATTACAAAAGCAATGGAATCCAAGCAGAGACATAAACACTTTGAGAGGACAGTGGAATCTGAGATCAGGGGAAAAAACATTCCAGCTAAGGGACAGTGGGAAGGCATGGGAGTCCTGGACAGGGACTGGTGGGATGGCGGATGGAATATAAGCTTCCTGAAAGTCAATCTGGGAAAATTTAGTGCAGATTGTGGCTAGTTTTGTTGTCAGCCTGGGATTTTGATTATCCTTGAAGAGTTGGGCATCTGTGAAATCTTATTGCCTGGGAAGAAAGATAATTACATCTGTGCATGGACTATAGGAGGGAAGTGATGATAGTCTTTGGACACTATTGCAAAAGTCCAGGTAGGAGATAATGAGGTAATCAATTGATTACCAAGGATTTGAAAAAGAGGCTGGGATGAGTAGCAAAGATACTGTGAAAATAGAGTGACTAACTTTAGCCAGTGGATGTGGAATTGGATTGGATGTGAAAACAAAGGAACTTCCTGGTTTTTAATCTGGATTTTGGAAAAGTGTCACACCATGAATAAAATTAAGAAACAGAGGAGGTGCGGTCTTTGGGTGAGATTGATTTGTCTTTTTAAATCTCCCAGAATTCCCTTCCCTGTATGATTTTGGGTGAATGTTGATCCCACTGTGGCAGCTGTGGGCCTTGTCACTGATCTGCGAGCTTGCCTTGCTGGTGAGGGGCCAAACCTACATACCAGCTCCTCCCGTACCTGCCCCATCTCCTCCTGCAGCTTTTTCAATCCGTGGGCCAAGTACAAATGCTTCTCTTGAGTAGGGCACAACTCCTGCTGCCAATGACCCATGGCAGCAGTTGGAGGGGGTAAGAGACTGGCGTGGGTTCTCGCTTATCTTCAGGGCCATCCTTTCCCTGACCCTGCCCAGCTTTCCCTTCTAACTGCCTATCAGACCTCCAGGAAAACAGGCTCAACACAAGACCAGAAACGAGGGTGTTGCAGACTCTGCTGCCAGCTCCTGTGAGAGCAGAAGTTTGCATGGCCATGCTACACCTTTATTCTATACTCTTGTGGTGGCGCTGCTTTTCTGATAAACGCTTATAGACTTGGTGGGGTCAGGGGATAGTAATGCATTCTCTTTATTCCTGTGGAACTTGAGATTTTGGTAGCATGCTGGAGTGAAATATAGATCACAGACAGTTGGAATGATGGGGATGGATTTTGAGAAGGCAGCTGGGGCTGGAGAGAGAAACCAGACAGAGATGAAGCCACACAGAGATGATCATCCAAGCTGGGGCAGCAGAGGAAGCTGTGGAGGCACAGAGTGTAGATGCAGAAGAAGGACAAAGACAGAAATTTGGGCAGTGCCTAACTGTCAGTTAGAAGAAGAAAGAAGAGCCGGGGGAGCAGCTTGCACTTAAGAAACAGGTGATTGGGACTGAGGAGAACACTTATAAAACTGAAAAGTAGGGCCTCCCCGGTGGCGCAGTGGTTGAGCGCTGGGCTGTGAAGCTCCCCGCAGTCTCTGCAGCGCCAGTTCGATTCCTGGCCGCTGCCGGCGAGGGTCCTACGTAGTGCACAGACCTCTCCTGCTGTACCCAGTGCTTGTATAAATAAATAAATCTTAAAAAAAAACCTTAAAAAAACTGAGAAGTAAAGGCTCCTGGAGGAGGCATAAAATTATAATATGGACCACCGGGTACTTTCTTTTCTCTATTGTTGAACGTAACATTATATGGAAAAACTTTGGCATTATTTCATTCAAATCTCATTTTACTGGAGAAAGAGTAGAGGCCCTTTGAGAACATTCTTGAGAACCTGAAGCTAGTTTGGGGCAGACCTGGAAAGAGAGCCCAGGCCTTCTGCTTGTAGTTGAATGATCTTACTACTGTACTATTCTTCCTCCTCTTGTTTACCAGGTTGCTAGACTCATTGAGACGATATTGAAAAATATTGAGTCCTCAGGAGGGAAGATTTAATATTAATGTTGACATAAATTTCAATATTACTTTGTCTTTAAGGTGCAGGAAGCATTTTGCATAAATGATTCTTCTCTGAAGAGTCGTCTACCACAGGTAGACAGCAAATATTTTTTTTCTTCTTTTACAAACAGAGAAACTGAGTCATGCTCTGGTAACTTTCTTTGCACGATAACTCCAGTACCATGAATATAAGTGCATCGCAAAACTTTTGGCAAATGAGGTTGCCTGAGCATCACTAACATTTCCATGCATGACAGCTATTTTTTGAAATAAACAACCCACTCTACCTACAATTGTAATGATAATAGAATAATTTTGTTAAACCTGATTTTTTACCTTATACTAATAATTCATGTACCAAATTCATATTTTTTAAAAAAGATTTATTTATTTATGCATGCAAGAACTGAGGTGTAGCCAGAGGTACAGGGGGTGATGAGAGGATTCATCAGAGTGAGTGGGGAGCAGTACAGGCAGATCTACTGAAATACACTGCTGAGGGGAGCAGTTTGTGAGACAGAAGAGGTCTGCTGCACCATGTGGGTTGCTGCCTGGCTGGCCAGGGATGGAACTCCTGCTGCAGTGCCTGACGATAGCTTGGTAGTGCTGTGCTTAACACCTGTGCCACCAGGGAGGCCCCCAAATTCATATTTTTACATTATTATATATACCGGGAGCCTAGTAGGTATCCAAGAAATGTTCTTGACAAATACTCTCAGGGGTGTTTCTTTCTTTTTTTTTTTAAACATTTTTTTTTTAAAAGATTAATTTATTTATTTATACAAGCACTGGGTACAGTCAGAAGCGCAGGAGGGTGAGAGAATTCACCAGAGCCAGAACAGGGAGCAGAGCAGGCAGAAGGACTGAAGCACACTGCTGAGGGGAGCAGAGGGCGGCAGGAGAGGTCTGCGCATCATGTGGGACCCTCCTCCAGTGGCCGGGGAGCAGCCAGGGATCGAACCTGCGCTGCAGAGGCTGCGGGCAGCTTCGCAACCTAGCGCTCAATAGCTGCGCCACCGGGGAGGCCCAGGGGTATTTCTTCACATATATAATATACAGACATAGGAATAATCCCCATTTAAGAGCATTTCTTTACATCCTTTCCTCTTAGCTTCAACAGCCTTCCCCCAGCTCCTGCACACATACAAACAGACTAGAATGTTGGCAAAGCAACAGTTGACCGAACTGACTTTCATCTCTGGGGCAAAGATTTGGATATTTGGTTAAAAATTGCTCACTCATGCATGGTGGTGTATCAGCAGGGATGAAATGAACCTAGAAGAGCTGGAGGTGCCACGAGGCAATAAAGAGCGCCCAGTGGATACCAACCTGAGGTGAACCTGGGTTTCATTACCATGGGCCAAGAGCCACATCCATTTCTCCTGATTGTTTTTTGTTTATCAGGCTATCAAGGGATTTAGGAGAAAAAACATGTATAAAGGTCCCACACTGTCCCAGGTACTTTGCTATATTTACCAGGTAGTATATACAAGATTTCCTTCCCTAGCGTCTCTGCAGGCCTATTATCTAATGACCGTCTGTCTGTCTGCCTGTCTGTCTATCATCTACCTACTTAACAATGATAGAAGGCAGTTTTCAAAAATGTAAAAGTGTAGTGAGAAATGTACACCAAAGTTCGGTCAGGAGGTGGAGGCATGGATACAAAGGCATTACTGTGCCTCTCAGCCAGCACAAACTGGAAGCCCATCAACAAAGACAGGCCACCTCTTCGTGGCTCTATCGATTTCTTTTCTCACTTGCTGAGTTTACTGCTGTTCCATGGATCACAGCACAAGTGTCCCAGAACACAGCGTGTTGCTGGGAGGGGAGGGTCATAATCACCCCTGACTGGCTGGTCCCTTCCTCTCTCTCCCCGCCTTTGTGTGTGCAGTTCAGGCTGCCTTTTGTCATTCTTGCCAGTGGACTTTTCAAAAGCAAGAATCTTGCTTCCTTTGGCCACTCGGCGAGTGTACAGTATATTTGATGTCTGGAACATCAAACAAATGCTTGTGCTCACAGTGCAGAAATAATCCCAGACAAAAGACGACGATGGCCATGTGGAGAATACGAAAGAGGTGGGGCTGGGAAATTACCAGTCAAGGCAAAGAAGAGGCTGTTTCACCAACCCAGTTCACCCGTGAGAAATAGGAAGCATGAGGCTGGGGGAATCTGCTCAGAGCACTGCCCAGCTCCGCTGGAGAGTGACAGGACAGGAAGTGGTGTCTCCCCCTGAATCCTTAGCTGCGCCGCATGATCTTCTTTGCAGTCAGGGTCACACTCAGTCTCTACATGTCCCTGAACTTGGGCATGGCCAGTTAGTTGTGCTCATACTTATGCATCCCCACTGGGGCAGAAACGGATCCTGGTCTAGCTTCTGATGTCACAGCCAGGCTGCTGGGCATCTGGGGAAGTAGGGCTAAGGAAGCAGAGTTCAGTCTTCTCAGTTCCTTCTTTCTCCATTCCTCAGGCTCCCAGAAAGGCACGGTGTTGACCGGAAGCTGTGGGATTTCCTCTCAGCATCTGGTTTCTCTCTCCCACCCCCCTCTGCTTGTCCTTTTCCCTGCAGGCAGCTGGTTGAGTGACTCAGCCATGAGTTAAGGGGGGAATTAATTGGAGGAGGAGGGCAGAAGAGCCAATGCAGGGAAAACTGTGCAAATCAAAGGGGTTATCTCCCCAGAGGGCTGCTGCTGGTGGGACCCAGTCATGCTCACCAGGTAATTCAAGTTCACCTTGTGGGAAGAAAAATAGGAGTTTTAAGGGCTTTGTAAGAAGAGGGGAGGGGAGAGAGAGATTGGGGGGAAAAGAGGAGGGGGGAGAGAGAGAGAGAGAGAGAGAGAGGTGCAAATCCAAATGTCGATGTGTAGACATAGTGAGGAGAGCCTGCTGCCTGACAGGGTGATTTATTGGATTCTTCCAGTTAATCACTGCCGGCCTGTGGCCAAACGGATCTCCAGCAAAGCTGAAAGGCAGCCGAGGGAAACAGGCTTATAAGCATAAAGCCGCATAATGGTGTTCAATGAAGTGTGAGACTTTTAGTTCAGTCTCGCTGAGCCGGCCGCACCGCCGGAATGTCAAAGAGGGATTGTGGGTGGAAAAATTATGGATTTAAACTGCTAGCTGTAAATGAGGTCAATATGTCTGGTTCATAAACAGTCCGAGCCTATTCCAAGAATGCAGTGAGGGGGAAAATTAGCGTGAAGCCAACACTGTAGACAAACCTCATTGAGATATAATTGCAGCTATAAATACAAGCGAAAAGCTTACCGAGTGCAATAAAATACAGACACGCTTTTTTATTCCCCCTTCTTCTTCCTTCTTTGAATCTATGCATTTGTTAAGGGTTGTGCATCCCTAATGCCCGCCTTCATCTCTCCCCCCTCTCCTAGTGACACCCAGTGTTGCAATTAATTGAGTGTTCTTGATCTCCCATTCCATTTTATTCAGGCAAGATTGGAAAAAATCAAAAGAGCACATCTAAAGCATTTTCTTCCCTTTTGCTTTTCTATTTGAATCAGGTTGAAAAGTGAGGAAAAAAAAAAGCAACGCTTATTTTTCGTGAAGGGGAAAAATCTAAGTAAAAAAGGCTTTTTAAACTAATACATCTGTTAGATCATTTGAATCTCAATTTAATGAAGGGACATCAAAGGCACCCACAGGATCCTAGGGTGGGGATTCTTTAAAGATACCTGGTCTTGGCTCATAAATCATTGACTCAAAATTAATTTTCTTCTTCTTGTCCTCCTCCTCCACCCGCTCTTCCTCTTTTCTTTCCCTTTTCTCAACTCCAAAGATTCTCATTACTGTATTTTGTACTCGAACTCAAAGGACAGAGGACAGACATTAGCAAACTTGCTTGGCCCGGTTTAAAAGCCGATACAGTAATAAATTGAAGTCTAATAGCTTTGGTCAGGCTGTCTCTCCCCCTAAACCAATTGATTTAAATGGCAGTAATTTGACCAGCGAGGCTAGTCCTGTTTAAATTAAACGCATTAATATAATAGCACAAGTCCTGAATGATACCCATCTGCAGAAAAGCCTCCACTGGTCAGTAGTTTCTTAACTGCCAGGGGATGTCCTGAAACACCCACTGACGTACAAACAGGAGTAACAGATTACACCCAGGACCCCAGAAAGCCTCCTGACAGAGCAGGATATGAATGAAATGCTGTGAGTATACATATTCAAAGCCAGTGAGGAACTGATCTGAAGTTTTCAAGGGAAATAACCTTGGTTATTAGTAACAGGGAAAGGTTAATTGTATTAATAACAGCAAGCAGTGTTCCTGAGGGGAAAGCCCTCAGCAGCCTTCTCTTCCTCCCTCCTGTCTCACTAAAGAGGCATTTTTCCTCTTTAACCATTCACTCTAGACCTCACGGCCCAGAAGGACAAAAAAAGATTTCGTGTAAGCAGAGAATTTGATCTTCACAGCTGAAGGTATATGCGTGCGTGTGTTTCAGCACTGGTGTTCAAGGCGATGTCCCTGCCGCGTCCACGTTTGGTTCAGTCAGTTTACATTAAGGTGTTCCAGCGGGTGGAATTTAGACTGGGGAATCAGGAATGCAGCTGCCTTTTCATCACCAAGTCTGAGTCATTGTTTAAGCCTGAGCAAATTGTCTGCCATCTGTTCAAAGGGGAGAGATGCTTCCTAAGCAGACCAGAAAGAGCTTGAACTAGGGAGCTATGGAATTGTGGGGACTTCAGTAATTACATGTATCCGAAGGGTGACAGTAAAAAATAATGCCACATGCATTCACAGGTGGCCGATGGAAGCAGTCTAATTACTTTGTGGGTCCACTCTGAACCCAGCACTTCAGGAGCAGGGAGGAGCCAGCATGGATCTGACAGCAGGGCTTGGGGCTAGGGATCAGGAGTCTGTCTCTGTCGTTAATCAGCTGTGCAGCCATGGACAAGAGCCATCATCTGAATTTGTTTCCTTTTTGAAATAAAAAGAAGAGGAAATATTTGTTCTGCATTCCTCAAAGATTATTGCTGAAATCAAATGAATGTATGGAAAGTACTTGGTGATATACATGTACACTTATATATATAATAATATTAAACATATATGGGATATTATCAGATATATTAGTTGTACTAATAATACAATTATTAGTTTTACCAGCAAAGCAGTTACCAATAACTACAGTTGACCCTTGGAAAACACAGGTTTGAAGTGCCCGGCTCCACTTACATTAGAATGTTCTTGTAAAGAGACAATGTAAATTTCTGGGTGTGATAGAGTATAGTATCTGTAAATAAAGTTTTTCCTCCTTATGATTATCTTAATAACATTTTCTCTTCTCTAGCTTACTTTATTGTAAGAATATAGCATTTAACACATATAACATACTAAATATGTATTATATTATCAGCAAGACATCTAGTCAACAGAAGGCTCTTAATAGTTAAGTTTTGGGGGAGTCAAATTAGAGGATTTTTGACTGTGCAGGGGCCAGTGTCCCTAATCCCCATGTTCTTCAAGTGCCAACTGTATATGAATTTTTTAGGGAAAATTGCATAAATTCATGCAATCTTTATTGAGACACAATGATAGGTCTTCCACCTATTCTACTGCATTTATTCCTCAGGCATTCATGTGGTGCAAATATTATGATCTTCCACTTTATAGATGAGGAAACATGAGCTGAGAGAATTTGGGTCATGGTTCTCTGTGGCTTAATAAATAGCAGAAATAGAATTCAAATCTAATACTTCTACATTCTGTGTTAATCATCTTTGAGGATACATGGTGCTCCCATTTCTCAGAATTGTCACCCTATTTCTTTAGTCAACTATTTTTGTTTAAGCCAGTGAAACTCAATCCTGAAAGCACACTAATAATTGTATTATTAGTACAACATGAAAATTACAAATATTTTTATTTGTATATTTGTTTATTTTTAATAATGCTGTTCAGGATTTGAGAGTTCTGTGTTAGGCCCTGGTAGAGAAACACAGGTTTTGCCTACAGGGAGAGGAAGAGCTAGAACGACTGTCAGTCTGGTCCTTCCAAACTTTGTGTGTTATTCTGTATAATTAAAACACACACACACACACACACACATGCGCACACACACATACAGAGTTTATGAACAAGGAACTGTGTGGATTTCCATGACTCAATCCTTAAACAGCAAAACAGGATAACTGCAGTCCTTCCTACTATGTCTGCCTTCCCTTATCACTGCTCTGCTAAATAGACAATATTGTTAATTCTCTTAATTGATCTTTCTCTGAGAAATATCGGATGAAGAACACCAGTAATCTAATCGCTTGATGCCTCAGGTTTATAGCTTAAGTCATACAGATTCTAGGAGGTGGGCAGAATACATATTTTAATCCATATTTTGCAAGTAATGAAATGGGAAATACGTGACTTGCCCACAATCACAGAGCTAAAATGCATTACAGGGTCACTTTCATTATTAAACAAATACTCCTGTATGCCAACCATTTTTCTGAGCCCTGGGACATCTGCTGGCATGGAACTCACAGTTTTGTTGGAGAAGGCAAAGAATGAGGCAATCACTCATGTGTAATATGTGAAGGGTACAAAGTTCTACGAAAAGACAAAGTAGGATGGATTTAGAGATGATAGGGAATGATGAAAGATGCTCTTTCTTTTCTTTTAGGGAGGGAGGTTGTTTCTGATGACATTTATTCCAGACCTGAAGAAAATGAGGGAAGTTGCCTAGGGAATTGCATGTGCAAAACCCCTGAAGCGTGGTTGTGCTTGTCTGTTTAGGGGTTTCAAATGAAGTTTCTTAATGTATGTCCTACATTCTTTCAGTTATTCAGTATACTCAAGATGAACATTGTATATCCTGGCACATGGTATCTTCTCGTCATTTTATTCCATGCCTATAATCTAAGCATATTAGCAAGTATTTTAAGGGGAAAAATAGAAGAGTATACTTCTTTCTCCCTACCCATGAAGGCTTTCTGGGAAGGAAAAAGGATAGAGAAAAATAACTCACATGTTCTGGAATGGCCATGGCTCTGGGGAAAGAAGCCATTTTGCTTCTTTCCTCTCAGGCCCTCGAAACATGCACACATTATAAAAACAGAAGATTTTTCTTACTTTTATGAGCTTTTCTCATGGGTAGATTGGTTTGTTATGGAGCCAGTACAGGGGTTTGAAAGCCACAGACACCCTTACTTCACAGCCAATTCTTGGCCACAGCCAAGATCTGGGCTCTGCCCTTTGAGGAGTCATGGAAATGTCATCTATAAAGTAATGGAAATATAGAAAGTTTCACAATGCTTTTGGGTCAGTTCCCACTGCCCAGGACTGCCATCTCTATCAAAAAAGAGAACCACTGTTGTTTTGGAACCCATTTTTTAACTCCCAACCACAGTCACATGTAAGCCAAAATGCTAAACCAAAAGCTAGAAAGTAAAGAGCATGTAGGATGACTGTAAAAATAGTAAAAATGTAATTGGATTATGGGTCACTTTTCCCTTCCAGTTTAACAGAGCTAGGGATCTCTTGATGACTTGAGGCTTTCTTGAAAAGTTTATTATTTTTTTGTTTCAATAATAAAAGGGAAGATTTTCTTGATATCTTCTTCAGATTGATTGTTTGTGTATAGGAAGGCTACTGACTTTTGTGTGTTGATTTTGTATCCTGATACTTTACTAAACTGATTGTTTAGTTTGACTAGTTTTTCTGTGGAGTTTTTGGTGTTTTCTGTATATTATCATATCATCTGTGAATAGTGATAGTTTTACTTCTTCCTTCCCTATTTGGATTTCTTGTATGTCGTTCTCTTGTCTTATTGCTCTGGCAGGACTTCCAGTATTATATTGAAAAGTAGTGGTAAGAGTGGACATCCTTGTCTTGTTCCAGATCTTAATGGAAATGCTTTCAACTTTTCACCATTGAGAATGATATTGGCTATGGGCTTGTCATACACGGCCTTTATGATGTTGAGGTATGTTCCTTGTGTCCTGAGAGTTTCAAGGGCCTTTATCATAAATGGGTGTTGTACTTTGTAAAAAGCTCTCTCAGCATCTATTGATATTATCATATGGTTTTTATATTTCTTTTTGTTGATGTGTTGGATTACATTGATTGATTTTGTATGTTGAATCATCCTTGTGTCCCAGGAATAAATGCTACTTGGTCGTGGTGATTTATCTTATAGATACATTGTTGGATTCTGTTAGCTAAATTTTTATTGAGGGTTTTTGCATCAGTGTTCATTAGAGATATTGGCCTATAGTTTTATTTTTGTGTTGTGTGGTTTTGGTATTAATGTAATATTGGCTTCATAGAACATGTTTGGTATTATCCCTTCCTTCTCAATTTTTTGGAAGAGTTTGTGAAGGATAGGTACTGGTTCGTTTCTGAATGTTTGGTAGAATTCATTTGTATATCCACCCTGTCCTGGCCTTTTGTTTTGGGGGATGGTTTTGATTACCATTTCAATTTCACTGCCATAAAATATATAGAAGGAAATATAGACAAAACACTACATGCCATACAACTCAGTAACATCTTTAAAGACACATCACCCAAAGCAGTGATAGTGAAGGCAAAGATAAACAGCTGGGACTACATCAAATTAAAGAGCTTCTGCACAGCAAAAGAGACAGTAATCAAAACAAAGAGACATCCAACGGATTGGGAGAAAATTTTTGCACACAACAGTAATGATAAAGGACTGATCACAAAAATCTACAAAGAGCTGATGAGACTCAACAAAAGCAAAGTAAACAATCCAGTCAAAAAATGGACAGAAGAGCTAAAAAGAAACTGCTCCAAAGAGGAAATGCAAATGGCCAACAGGCATATGAAAAAATGTTCAATATCACTTGCAATCAGGGAAATGCAAATCAAAACTACAATGAGATACCATCTTACACCAGTGAGAATGGCACATATTAAAAAAACTAACAACAAAATTTGGCGAGGATGTGGAGAAAAAGAAACTCTCCTGCACTGTTGGTGGGAGTGCAAACTGGTCCAACCACTATGGAGAGCTGTGTGGAGATTTCTGGACCTACTAAACATAGAGCTTCCATATGATCCAGCAATTCCACTCCTAGGTATTTATCCAGAGGACACAGAATCATTAATTCAAAAGAACACCTGCACCCCTATGTTTATAGCAGCACTATTTACAATAGGTAAGCTATGGAAACAGCCCAAATGCCCCAAAATAGATGACTGGATCCAGAAGAGGTGGTACATATACACCATGGAATATTACTCAGCATTCAAAAAAGATAAACTCATGCAATTTGCAGCAACATGGATGGAGCTGGAAGGGATCATGCTCAGCGAAATAAGCCAGAAAGAAAAAGAAAAATACCAGATGGTCTCACTCATAGCAGGAATTTAGAAAACCTAAATAAGGGACCAGGAAAAAGACTAATTATAATAAAGTAAAAATCAAAATCAACAAGCAATTATAAACCAGAGACACACT